AGTATAATAGCCAGGTTTTCTGTAACGTAGGCATAATCCTTTCTTACGTCTCTTTATTACAAGTTTACTATCTTAATTCTTCTTAAGTAACCCTTATTTCTTTCCTTTTTAAGTTACGTCTAAGTCTATAGGCATGTTTCATCTTGTAAGGTAATATCCTTAGACTCTATATTTTAAATGTTATATATTAGCTTAATATTATATTAGAATAGTAATATAATTCTTTTTTTCTTTTTCGAGTTATCTTTTATAGTTTTAATTATTTATTTTAATTACTATTTTAATTAAGGGTAACAACTCGCTAGGTTAATTAATCTTAAATAGGTCATCTTTAACAGAGTCTTTTAGCCCTTTATAGAAGACAGCTGATAAGGCGAAGTCCTCCTAATCTACTTATAAGGTAATCTAGTAGAATCTAAAAGTATAATCTATAGCAGATCCCTTCTGCCTTATTTATAGTAGGTCTTTTTTGGCTTCCTTAATTGTATTCATGTCCCTATATACTTATTTAATCTTAATTATAAAGTTAGCAAAACTATAAAAGATTTATTACATATCTAGTTCTTAGTCCTTTATTACCTCTTTAAGTTTGTCTTTAAGGTAAGATTCAAACTAGTTATATATAGCCCCTTAAAGAAAGATGGCTATATATAAGACCTTCTTTTTATTAGTATCTATTACTTATACATAAAATAGAAAGTTAATTTATAATTAGTTTAAGAACTCTTAAAGTCTCTTTCTATCTCTATAAAATAAGTCTAGTAATATAACTTTAAACTATGCATTCCTTCCTTAGCCTTTAATAGTAGCAGTACTTGTTAGCCTTAAGGTAACTAATATAGTGTATATCTTTAGGTAATATATATAATATCTGTTTAACTATACTTAGTATTCTTAAAAGTAATAGTTAAAGTATTAGGGCTTAACTGATTAAGATAAGTCTCAACTAGAAGCTAGGTCCAAAGGGTTAGTTAAGTAGAACAGGAAGTGCAGTAAGCAATACTAAGATGTCTTCAACTTAGGTATAAGCTGATAACATGAGTTGACTACAAAGACTATAAAACTATCTGGGAAATGAGCGTGCTTATATAGACTAGAAGATTCGTGCTCAGAGTTGATCATCCTGATCACCTCTGATCATTGCTCATGAGTGCTTACCCTGATCACCTTTGATCATTGCTTATGAGTGCTCACCCTGATCACCTCTGATTATTACGTCGTCCAGGTCTGACCATGTGTGTAGTTCAGGGTCCAGTCCTGTCTAAGTCTGTCATAGTTCCTTCGCAGAGTGCCAGGCAGCTCTGTAGTGCCTGTCGGTGCTTGGCGTATTCACGTGCTGTAACACCTTATAACTTTAACGTTATCTTAATAATAATAACGAGCTTCTCTAGGATTTTATAATAGCACAAGTCATTAATAATAATACCCTAGCCTTTATTTGGCAAGATAATAAGACTGTTTGTGCTATTACGACTGCTTATAGCCTCTATTATACAGAAGATCGAATCTAACAAACGTGTAAATGCCCTAAAATCTCCTCTGAAAATCAACGTATCCTTGACCCTGTATTTAAGGGCTTACCCTTTAAGGATCTCTTTATTCCAAAGGCTATTAATGACTATAACTATTATATAAAGGGGGTAGATTAAGCTGATTAGTTACGAGCAGCGTTTACTTGCTATTATAAGCAAAGTTATCATACGCAGATGCCCTTGATCTACTTCCTTAGTGACGTTGCTCGCGTTAATGCGTATTTGCTATAGCTATGGAGCTCTCTAACGCACATAGCAAACGCACAGCATACGCACAATAGCCATAGAGAGTTCATAAAGGCTCTCTCCTCTCAATTACTCTATTCGAATAATAAAACCAAGGAGAAGGAGGATTCACAATCTCTACCAACTATAGTACTTCAAAGACACCACAAACCCATACAAAAGAAGTCCGGCGGACAGTGTCAATGGGGAAAGCTTCATCCGCCAGGCTGTACACGTAAAAGGGCACCCAAACGCGCATTTGGAACAGATACTACACGCTCAGCCAATAATGGCATTTCTACGGCTATTTTAGGAGGCTCACACACTCATTATGAGTGCTCAAAGTGCCAGTTTTGGCTCTGTATCGAAGGAGAGTGCTGGGCACAATATCATCACTCAATTGGAGTCAATTGCTAGATAATACGGCCTCAACTGGCCCAAATAGGGTGTTTATTGACATTTTGAGCCTCCCCGCAGTGATCGACAGCGCTAATTGGCACATTCTACACCCCTGTTCAGGTACGGAGGGGATAGGGCACGACTCTGTAAACCACTTGTTAATTGATGGAATCTGCCTATACCTCCACAATTTTCAATTAATTCATCCCAAGGCAGCTTTCGAGCACTTTGATGGTTACATTGACGAGATGGATGACTGTAGGGAGCGGCATTAAGTCACTTGGAAGGCACTGAGTCACTGAGGAGGCAATGAGTCACTAAGGAGGCACTGAGTCACTGGAGAGGCTTTTGCATGCACAGCCTTGCCGATCGGCCTGCTGCAGCCAGGATAGCGACTGAACAATCCAATGCACTTTGCACGGTATGTGAAATACTACGTACATTGAGAGCAAGAAAATTGATATTAAATAGACCTTCAGGACTCAACAAATACCATAATTTCAATTGAGCTCATCATTGCGCCATTCACATCCCATTATCCCCAGGTGTATATCATTCATGTTGGGAGGATCGTCGAGTAGTACTACAAGCCACACAACAGGCAATTCATCTAGCTTAGACGCCATGTCGTCCAAAAAGGTCTTTCCATGCAACACTTGCGACCTTGTTTTCGAAAACTCTCAGGCTCAACGAACGCACATGCGAGAGCCGTGGCAGTAAGAATCTGGCGAACAACACCCACTGAAAATGAATGGCTCACCAGTTGATAGTGTCTATAACCTCAAACGTCGAATGGCATCTTTGCCGCCAATTTCAGCAGATAGTTATGCCGAGAACGTGGCAACGAGTCTTGTTTCGAACAAGCAAGAATCATTAGATGCTGCGCCTTCCTCAGCAGTGGTGAAGCCCTCGCCTGAAGAGGAACACGCGGAAGAGAGTGACGAGTTTGAAGATCCCATCGGTGAAAAGGCTCAGATCAACTGCTGTCTATTTTGTACCATGGATTTAGACAGCCTGGAAACCAACCTTGAGCACATGTCCTTGCAGCACGGCCTTTACATTCCTGAGATTGAGCATCTCTCAAGTCTCGAGACAATCGTCGGGTATCTCCGTACTGTTATTACCGAGTACAAAGAATGCTTATACTGTGGAATGATCAAGCAGTCTACAGAAGGTATTCGGCGGCACATGCTTGACAAGGGTCATTGCATGATCAACTTGGACCGCGAACCGGAGCTTCTCGAATTCTGGGACTTCTCCGATAGCGATGAACATGACACTGACGACGAAGAGGCGCCAAAATCACGGGCTCGAAAGACTGATACGACGGCATCCAAAGACTTGTCGGAAGGCGAATACACACTTCCTTCTGGGAAAGTTGTCGAATCCAAGAGCAAGGCTCGAGAAGCCCGCCTTTTCGCTCGTCGAACTGCCTCGGCCACCAAAGAGACTTCCAGCCGAACGATTACCGAGGGTACAATCGACAACACCGACCAGAATTCTTTGGCCTATCCGGCTGAATCACTTATAAGAACCCAAGGAGGAACTCGGGATCGTGCACTCGCCGTGCGAGACGCACTGGGGCTAGTTGGCGTCTCTGAGCAGCAGATGCGGAGTCTTGTCACGGTTCAGAGAAAGATGCAAAGGCAGCAGGCGATCGTGCGAGCGTCGGCGAGCTGGGCAGGAGATAAGGGCGGAATTCATCAAAGGCACTACAAGGTAAAGATGAATTTACGCGATGGCTGAACCGTAACACGTCATTGCATTTCCTTCGCCACGCACTCTGTGGCAAAAGAGATGCATGGATGTAATCATTATATCTTTACGGAGTATTTGATTGCACATACCCGACCAGCGTGCTTAGTTCGTGTATAGCAATACTTGCTCGTGCTAACACAATCCCAAACATCTCGACGAAGACTGCGCCGATTGACAGGAACTAGTTCTGCATACTCGCAATTGGTCTGGAAATACTCTTTGTCTCAAAGAGGGAAAAAGTAAATATAAAATTGAATTAAATTAAAATCGGACAAGCAGCGACTATCCCTCATTCCATTCAAAGACTTATTCGGTGAAATGCCCTCTCTTTTGACACGACGCAATGGTATGAAACACCTTCATGGGCACCTCCAGTCTTTGGTGTTACCTAGCGTCTTCGGTGGCCAGTGGTTTGGTGTCTATCTTCGAAAGTGGGATACTCTCTGTGTGTAACAGTTTGCAGAGAGGGCACAGAAAGCAAGTTGTCCGATCTAACTAAGGGGCAGCGTGCGTAGATATACGTACAAATTACGGAGGAGTACGGAGCAGAAGCAAAATTGCATCAGAGATTGACCAATCAAAACGCAGGGATCACACTTAGAATACCTGGCCAATGAGCGCTCATACGGCCTGACAGGTATCACACCAGGCTACCGGCAAGCTCGGTTTTCGAGCTACGATCAATTATGGGTGACCATTAAATATACTCGAACTGGATGATGTCGTGACTGGTCACGGCAGCGCGTTATGGCGCTAAATATCTCCAGTGGATATGCTCCGCCGAGTAACCTTCAAGATGCGTCAGACGCAGGTCTTCCCATCTTCAATGTTGAGCGAGTTCAGCTCCAGTTCAATATTGCTGCCGATTTTGTGGCAGCCCAGGTCGCAAATAATGTCCTGATACTGGCACTGGCCACTGGCAGGATATTGCGGATCGATCTGGACAATCCCGCCGACATAGACGGTACGACAGCCTTCCCTGCAGACGATCGTCATGTTCGAAATTAATTCTTGTCGCAGATGTTGACCTACCCAAAAAGCCAGCAGAGGTCGGACTTATACGGCGAATGTTCTTGGATCCCTCCGCATCTCACCTGATTATCACCACCACCCTGGGAGAGAATTACTACCTGCACACGCAATCACGTCAGCCCAAGCCTCTCTTTAAATTGAGAGGAGTATCAATCGAATGCGTGGCTTGGAATCCCTCTCTTCCTTCAGCGTCTACTCGAGAAATTCTGATTGGGGCGACGGACGGTAACATTTACGAGATCTACATTGAGCAGTCATCAGAGTTTTTCCGAAGAGAAGGAGGATATACGACTCAAGTTTGGAGGGTGCCAGATGGCGCGGTTACTGGTATCTGGACAGATACGATCCCTGGCCAATCCGATCTCCGTAGGATACTTGTAGCCTCACATAACAGGCTCTTGCATTTTCTAGGAAAGACAGGAGGTCGTGGTCGCGAAGGTTCGAGTTCAATATATACAGACCTGTTCCGGAACGAAGCTCCTGTTGCTCATGATACATCTGGTGCATCTGTCAGTGCACCTTCGGTCCTAGCTATAACACCTGAGTCCCACAAATCAGATGGCAATCAGCAGGATGAGCAGGGTTTTGCCTGGCTCTATTCCCAGGGCATTTTCTATGGCAATCTGTCAACCTCCCCAGCAAGTCCAGCTGTTGCAAACAAGATCTTCAACGAAGCCAAATTTGTCCCGAGGTCGAAATTTCCAGAGACGGTTTCCGCTAGAGGAGGTCGTAAGCTGATACAAGATCCAATCACTTCAATGGCTTTAACGCAGTGGCACATTCTCGTCCTGGTTGAAGGCCACATCGTTGCCGTCAATCGCCTTGACGGAAGCACAGTTTGTGATCAGGTTGTCCTTGAACCAGGTCAAACCACATTAGGACTCGTTGCAGACCAGAAGAAAAATACCTTCTGGCTCTTCACTAGCCAAGAAATTTTCGAGGTAGTCGCAAATGATGAAGACCGAGACATATGGAAGATTATGCTCAAGCAGCAGCGCTACGATGAAGCACTGAAATTTGCAAAAGACGCTTTTCAAAAGGATGCGGTGGCGACAGCCTCCGGAGATCATCTTTCTAGCAAGGGACAATATCTTGAGGCGGCTGGTATCTGGGGGAAAAGTAGTAAAGCTTTCGAGGAGGTCTGTTTGAGCCTAATTGACAGCGGCCAGGAAGATGCACTACGGAAGTATTTGATAACCAAGCTTGGGACGTACAAAAAGAGCTCAACGATGCAACGGACCATGATGGCAACGTGGCTAATCCAGATATTTATGGGAAAGCTCAATGCTTTAGATGATATGGTAGCCACAAAAGCTGAATTGCTAGAAAACACTGACGCCAAAGGAGCCAAAGAGCAATTGCAACGCACAATGCGAGAGTACCAAGACTTTGTGTCCAAGTATAAATCCGATCTTGATGCCAAAACCGTCTACGAAGTTGTTGGCAGCCATGATCGAGAAGAAGAATTGCTCTTTTTCGCCAATACTATCAACGACTACAACTTCGTTTTGTCCTACTGGGTTCAGCGAGAGAAATGGACAGAAGCACTTACCGTGCTTAACAAGCAGACGGATCCGGAGACGTTCTACAAGTATGGCAGCGTGCTGATGATCCATGTGCCTGGTGGGTTGGTCGAGATCTTAATGCGTCGAAATTCTATCGATCCACCAAGACTAATACCAGCGCTTCTCAGTTACAATGAGAAGGCCGATGGACCCTTAAATCAGAACCAAGCAGTTCGATACCTCCAGTTTGTCATCAACAATTATGCGGAAGTGCCTGCTGAAATCCACAATACTCTTATCTCAATAATGGCATCTCACCCCTCACCCTCGGAAGGTGTCCTTCTATCGTATCTCGAGTCACAGCCAGTACCTCCACCATATGATGCGGACTTTGCATTGCGGTTGTGCATTCAGCACAACAGAATACAGTCTTGCGTCCATATCTATAGTTCCATGGGCCAGTATTTGCAAGCCGTGGAACTAGCCCTTCAGCACGACGATACTGATCTCGCTGCTATCGTTGCAGACCGACCAGAAGGCAATGACAAGCTTCGAAAGAGATTGTGGCTTTTAGTTGCGCAAAAGAAGATCCAGCAAGATGCCGGCATCAAATCGGCAATTGAGTTTCTCAAACGCTGCGATCTTCTCAAGATTGAAGATCTCATTCCGTTCTTCCCCGATTTTGTCGTTATCGACGATTTTAAGGAGGAGATTTGCACCGCGCTTGAAAACTACTCGCGGCATATCGATGACCTCAAGCAGGAAATGGACATGTCAGCACACACCGCAGAGCAAATTCAGGCTGAAATTCAAGCTCTTGATTTGCGGTACGCGATTGTTGAGCCGGGTGAGAAATGCTGGATATGCAGTCTTCCGGTGCTGAGTCGGCAGTTCTTTGTCTTTCCTTGTCAACATGCTTTTCACAGTGACTGTTTGGGAAAGAAAGTGCTTGAGAGTTCTAGGTTGGGAAAGAAGAAGTATATCAAAGATCTGCAAAATGAAGTCAGCCGAGGATTGAGTACGGGAGTGAAGAGAGAGAATATGATCAAGGAGCTTGACAGTCTGGTTGCTGAACAATGGTAGGTTTCAACAATTCGTCTTGGGGGTGAGAAGAGATGAGCTGACATGGGTGTGGTAGTGTTCTTTGTGGTGATTACGGCATCAAGCAAATCGACGAACCTTTCATCCATGATGCAGATGACAGAGACGAATGGTCCATCTGAAACTCGGGTGTTGGCTAATAACATTCATTTTAAGGACTGGCCATCAATGTCATGTGCTATGCCGCATCGATTTCATCAAGCGCAGCAACACAGTATTCCGAGCAACGCATAAACCCTAGCTCCTGACATAGAGAATATCTTTCTGAACTTGAGTGGCATACTATATCACCAAGCCATAAGGCACAGCCAGCGCATTTCGCCTCCAGCTTCCATGGTCAGCATTAACCCGCATTACAATGTCATCTGCAGTACGAAGAGCGAGCTCCTGACGAAGTCGTGATGATAGAGGTGCCTGAGACAACTCGGCCATCTCGAGATAATCTTACACCCTCTACCATGATTTGAATGAAGGACAAGAACGCCTACCGCAGCTAGCCATCAGTGACGCAACTGAAGCGACGGGAGCGGCAGATTGCTAGCAAACAAGGAACCCAGGGGCCCGTGGGAAGGAGGTGATCCTCATCGATGGAATGCGCGTTACAGGGAGGAGAAGCTTCACGGTGCCCCCGAGCAACGAGGAACGTCATGACCGAAGAAGTTTATCCCCACCGGTTCTCGATCTACTGGGGTCCATCCATCTCGAAAAGCTAATAGCTGAAGAATCGACATACCAGCGCTATCCTCCCAGCGGGCGGGAGAGGGAAAGGAGAGTCAAGTCGAGTTTCATCTGACTACACACATGCATTCCCAGCCAGGAGCAAGAAACCACAGAAACGCCCATAACTAGGCAGATGCCGAGAATACAAATCGTAACACATTAAATCTAACTGGCTTCTATACCGTAGTAATCCCAATCGATCCCCAATGCATTATCCTGATAACCAATTCTCTTCTATCCCTATCCACATGCACATCCATACACATGCAATAATCGTCAATGCAAAGGGGCAACTCCGTCCCGGTTCCAGCGCAGATAAGTCTATAGTGCTGCGCCATGAACCCACCCAACGATGGCCGCCTCCCACTCCGCCTCGACCCCAAATCGCGAAGGAGCTGCAGGAAAAAAACAGGCGTGAGGATCGACCGTGCTGCACCAGTGAGTGGGGTAGTGATAATCGTTGTAGTGACCACAACCCTCGATCCCTTCCCTCCCACCGTTGCAGCATGCGTTTTCGTTTCCACCTTCAGCCCCGCAACACGCGGCACCCTAATTTCCCTCTCTCCCTAAGTTAGCCTCGCCTAGTTAGTACTTATCGCATCTCCTTCGCTCCGGCCAAACCCTGTCGAGATTGTTCCTCCTTAGCGGCCTCAGTCTTCGAGTCGGCGATACTATTCTCCTCCCCCTCTCCCCCTCCTCCATCTCGACCCTTTTGACTTTGTATCTGTCCTTGTCCCTGCGCCTGCGCTCGAGTCTCAGCTTCAGCTTGGCCTTGAGCTTGAGCTTGAGCTTGAGCTTGACCGTTCGTCTGGATCTGCCTGCCCACCGTCTTGGCGAAGAGGGATTGCGGTTTTCCCGAGCTGCAAAAAGAACAAGAAAAAAAATCAACCAAAATCCATCTGTCAGCGTGGGAGGGCGGGGAGGTTTTGGGGTAGGGTTTTGGAGAAGAGGCCTCGGAGTGGGCGGTGGGGGGCACTTGGCGAGAGGAGGGGAGGAAAGGTAGAGCTTGGGACTTGGGGACCTGGGGACTTGTTGGGGGACTTACGCGAATCTCTTGCCCTTCATCTCGGAGAGTTTCTTGGTGGTCGGCGACATGATGGTGTCGGAGGGGGAGATGTAGGATTGTGGTTGCGCTTGTGCTTGGCACTGTTTGTCTTCTGGGTGGGTCATATTGCGGGCCTGGGTGGGGTTGAATGGGTGAGGTGGGTAAGGTTATCGTATACTCGGCTCGGGGCGCGAGCGTGATCGAGTAAAGTAGTTGTTGCTGATGTCGATACTCCGTCGACTGGGAGAGCTGTACTCTCTCTCTCGCTCTCTCGCTCTCACTCGATCGCACTGAGTTTCGTTTTGCGGCTGCTCAATCCAACTCCGAATCCCCTGGAGAGCAGGAACGAATTTGAAAATGCGACCGTGGTTGTGCCTGTGATTGATTGTGATTGCTGAAAGCTGAGAAGGGTGGATCAGTCTCCCTTTATGGTGACTGTGAATGCCGCCGGCAATAAGCGGCAGAGACACAAGGGCTGTCGTTGGTGCTCAATTGCTGTGGTGGGTCACTAGCTTCAATTTGTCACTTGCAAGTCGTTGAGGAGACGGAGATATGTACACATTCTTCCGCTTTGAGCCATTGCGAGGGGCAACTGGGGATGTTGTGCCAAGACTGTTTAGATGGGGATATCGCCCCGGAATGTGCCCTACCTCTGCCTCTGTATGAATCTGGACTGTTGCGAGAGTTGCGGCTCACAGCTCATGATCCTAATGGTATCATATTCCTATTTTCATTGGCTCGCTGGAAGTTCGTAGCGGGTCATGGCGCTGAGCTGATACTTTCATTATCATCCAAATGTGTCCCAATACAACTTGAAAGGCAGCACCGCCAGAACGGAAATCATGCACCTATTACAAATGACTCTTCAACTTCTTCACCCCCATCCTCTCGAGAATCCTATCCGCTTCCGCTCTCTGCCACTCCAGCCTTTTGATCACCTCGTCCCTTCTGTCGTTGTTCTCCCTTTTCGCCATTTGCTGCAAGTGCACCTCGTCCGGCCCGTCCGCAATCCTCAAGGTTCGGATCTGTGCCCACATGTTCGCCAATGGTGTGTCTTGACATACACCCATACCACCATAAGCCTGCACTGCCCGATCGATCACCGCCAATGCCATACTCGGCACCAAGACCTTTGCTTCAGCGATCTCTTTGAGTGCAGCCTTTGCATTCGCGCCGTCGATCTTGATGGCGGCGTTCAGGACGACTAATCTTGCAGCATCGATTTCAAGTCGAGACCTTGCAATCCATTCCAGCAGTACGCCATGTGAAGACAGCGCTTGTCCAAATGTTTTTTTCCTCTCGTCATTGATTCGCGCGATTAACCATTCCAGCGCCAGCTCCGCAGCACCGATTGTTCGCATAGCGTGGTGAATCCGTCCTGGCCCTAATCTTCCTTGAATGATCTCGAACCCTCTGCCCTCACCTAGTACCATGGCGTCTGAATCTTTGACTCGCACATCCTTGAAGCTGATATGCCCGTGCCCATGCGGCGCATCATCGTATCCGTAAACCTGTAACATCCTGTGGATCGTAATCCCTTTCGCATCTGCCGGAACAAGAACAACGGACTGCTGTCTGTACGGATTCTTTTCGTGTGGCGACGACTTGCCCATCACGATGTAGACTTTGCATCTATGATCCCCAACTCCCGACGACCACCATTTGGACCCATTCATAACCCATTCATCACCATCTCTTCGCATGGTAAGCTGTATATTCGTTGCGTCTGAAGAGGCGACATCCGGCTCCGTCATCAGGAAGGCCGAGCGAATCTCGCCGTTCAGAAGCGGAGTAAGCCATTTCTGCTTTTGCGCCGAGGAGCCATATTTAGCAAGAACCTCCATGTTGCCTGTATCTGGCGCGGAGCAGTTGGTTGCCTAGCAATGCGCACACAAATCAGTACTATTCTCGCCTCCATCACCAATGCGGCGGAGAAGTATACCTCACTAGCGACCCTGCTCTTCCCCAAATACTCCGCCATGAGCCCATACTCTAAATTACTGAACCCTGCACCTTCCTTAAAATGGTTCCTAGGCACAAACATGTTCCAGAGTCCAAGCTTCTTCGCTCGTTCTTTAAGGTCGTCGATGATCGATGGGTGGCCTTTCCAGCGTTGCTCACCTTCGCCGAGCTGGGCGTGGAAGACTGTGTCGGAGGGTATACATTCTTGCGCCACGAATTTCTCTACCTACAACAAAGCTGGTGAGCTGTTATTCTCACGGCGTTCGTGGTGCTTCTGTACCAGGTCTAATGTCTTCTTCGCCTTTTCCGAGACGAAGGGGAGCGCAATGGGGGGAATGGCGTCGGATGCGGGCATGGTGAGGGACAGTAGAGGGTTTGAAACCGGAGGATAATGTTTATGCTGTTCCGGGTTGATAGATGATAGAATGGAAAAGCACGACGAAAAGACGGGGTTCAATGGCTGGAGGGATGGGTAGGTAGAACTACATATTTTCAGGACGAGTTCCTCTCGACGTCGACGTTCGAGTGGATCAATGTCCAGCCAAGTGTGGGGTTAAGCCGAGGCTCCTACAGTAACTATCTAGCTTGCTGCATGGTAATTAGGAATGGTTGGTTGGTACTCCGTAATACTGCGTAAATATTGTTGTCCTTGTCTATTTAAGACGTCATGACATTTAATTCCTCTGCCTCCATGAATGGGTATTCATAGAGGTGTATGATAGATGGCTCTAGCACAGCTGCGCGGTCGAAGCTCCTCATAGCATTCTCCAAGCACAAAGAAGGCAGATTCATGAAAATTGTTGCGGAATGATGGAGTTAGTACCAATGAACAAGCTTTTCTTGAAGCACTACTTACGTAGTATTCTCCAGAGGATTTGTTTTGGTGCTAACATACCTGCTATAGGCCGATTGGCTCATGTTGCTCTGGTGCCCCTTTCCCGCCCTTGGTAGACAGCGGAATCTCCTAGACCCTCCTGCGAACTTACCCCTCAAGCTCGTCCAGCAAATGAATTCTGGCCTCTTCCAACCACTCCTCGACCTCGGCACTCAGACCTTGAGGGACCTCGACGGCTCTCTGGGTGCCATCATGCTGAACGTAGCTAGCATAGGCGGGCTCACTGCAGGTGGAATCAACATCCTCCATGCGAAGGTCCGCCTTCTTGCCCCTGGCGCCCACTTCCCATTTCACAGAATTTACTGTGGGAGTGGTACAAGAGCCCAAAGCTCGTCGTCAGCCACGAATTTACATGTAGACGGCCTGATACTCGCAGAACGGACACTGCTCATGTCCGTCAATGCCGACTGGTACATTCAGCTAGTGAGACACGTCATAGCTGCATTTCGCGACCAAAAGTGCAGCGGTTCATACCATCAGCAGAACCAGTCTGTCAGGATCTCGATCAGCTTTCTAGCGACTCGGAACCCACGCAAATGATCCTAGAAGTCTCATCGATGGGTTGGTTATTCGTGAAGTCCCGGGGAGTACAGAAGCACTTGAAAGGATAAATATTGTGGAGCCGAGGTTGCGAACACCCAACAGATTGCGAGATTGGGTGGCCCAGTCATTAAGGATATATCAACTAAATGTGCTTATCGCAGCCCGGCTGTGCCGGATGAAGACGTCTTACTATACAACCGGACTCCAAGGGAATTCTATTCTAATCCATCATTTCTTCTAGTATGACTTTGTACCTTTTTCTTTTCTTTTGGTGTGAGGCCCAAAGTATTGTCTTCAGTCGTCCAATATACTTAGCCATTACTGGGAAGATACGTCGTTCTGCGACATAGGCAACAGCAAAGCCAAAGGCAGCGAGCACCAACAGAACTAATTTGAAATCGAGAGACATTTCTGTCAGATCCATGAAATTCGATAACCATTCGGCAGGGTCAAGTAGCATATACAACGACATAAGCAAGGTCACAACAATAGTGACGACGAAGGGAACTAATGTTCATCAGCATTTTCGATAATAGGTTCCAACCATGGTGACATACCATTGGCGGTCATCGACTGTCTGAATGGTGCACCAACACTGAGAACGACCCCGGAAAGAATATACTGGTAGCAGGAGACAAGAAAGAGAGCTGTATCTTGTGAGTTGTCGACGCTCGGGTGGTCAACGCCTTTCTCTGGAGGCTTGTACCTGTGGAGGAATCAGAGCTGCACCGCTGTCACAGATATAGGAGGCTTACCATGGTTGTTTCTGGACCAGATCAAAGGCAACAGCTTGAACCATGATACAGAGAACAATTTGCCCAAGGAGAGAGGTCAGAATCTTGCGGGATACAAGGCTGGCGGTAGGCCGTTTGCGACTCAAAGTAGGATATGCTCCTGTCCATCCCATGAAAACCGCAATGGGAAGGATAAGGCAGAGATCGATGAAGAGAAATTGAAAATCGCCGAGATTTGAGGCAGATGCGTAAAGGAAGCTGACTGACGTGAATTGGATGGCCGAGTATAAGCTCATATATTTAAAACAGCAGAAGCTTGTTACCAAAGCTGCCCGGCCCTCTCGAATCAGCTCGGGCACGCAGGATATATCGAATACGCGGCTTGTGAATGGAGCGGCTACCGAGGCTTCCGCCTCCGAAAGTGAGACGCCTACGTCTGCTGCTTTGAGTGCACCACAATCATTGGCACCGTCGCCACAGAAGCCACAGCAATAGTCAATGCTCTGAAGCTTCTCTACAAGCTCATGTTTCTCATCAGGCGACATCCGAGCGAAAACCTGACCCTTTACGAGCATTCGTTGCATTATCTCCTGAGAGCCAAAGTCGATGATCCAGCGAAAGACATCGCCAGTGACTGCGAGCGAAAAATCGCGGAGACCAATGGTGTCGTACGGCGCAGAGGAGTCATATTCCGCTGGCGGTAACAGAGGCATCAACGTATTCTCGTCCAACTGATAGACTGAATTGTCCACACTCTCCCAGACAAGTCGTGCCCTGGGGTCGAGCCTGTCGCCTTCAACAAAATGTGGCACAAAACAATGCTCACTGCGGTCTATCAATTTACATTCCCTTGCAACGCTGATTGCGGTAAGGATATTGTCGCCAGTGCACATGACATTGCGAATGGCTGCTTCGTTCAGTTCCTCAATGACCTTGGTGGTAGCGTCCTTCAACTTGTTCTCAAACACGATGAAGCCAGTCAACTGAAGGCGCGATTCAGCTTCGGCTCGTTCCATCTTCTGAGTGCGGTCCGATGAAAGCTTCGACAAGTATTTAGAGGCGCAGGCAATCACACGAAATCCTCTATGGGTGTAGTAGCTGAGGAGATCGTCGTACTCTGATGGAATGCTTGAGGCCTGGCAAATGTCTTTCATCACTTCTGGCGCTCCCTTGACAAATATATGAGCGCCTGGGTCGCCCCGTTGTCGGACTATGACACTCGCTCTCCGTAAGTGAGCGGCAAATTCGAATGATCGAAGTATGCCAAGTTCTACTGGGAGAGGATTGTCGCTGTCTTGGGAGTCATCGAGGTCGTACTCCATTCCTGGAGGAGGACGAGCGATAGGGAGTGCGGAATGCAAACTTTCATCCTCTTGGACGAAGCCGTTTTGTTGCTGCTCACCCTCATCAAAAAACCATCCAGTGAACTCGAACATCTTCAGATCTAGAGGATCTCCGATGAGCTCTCCGTCAACGAGGCGTAAGGAATGACATGTCGCCATTGTATATAGAATATGCTTGTTGATGCGATAGTCAACCGTCGGATCACGCTCGTAGGAAGCTGCAGGCAGCACATCGGGGGCTTCGAGCAGGAGATCGCTAAACCTGATCTCTGGATGTTGAACGAGACGAACGCCGAGCACGTCCAAACCGTCCTGTGTCAGGGTCCCAGTTTTGTCAAAACAAACCACATCAAGCTTACCACTGATGTTGACCCTCTGTGGACTGATGCAGAAAATGTTCCGTTTTCGAAGTCGTGACAGAGCGAAATTTGTGCCAATGGTGAGAGTCGCGGGCAGGGCTGGTGGCACCACGATCGTGATCAGGTCTAAAGCGCGGATCAAGATAAATTTCCAGGCCATGTCTAATCGAACAAAGTTGATAAAGGAAGCAATGAAGCCAACTGCTGCGATGCAGGCCATTACAAATATATAGCGGAAGGAATCTTGGTAGAATTTGAAGCCGAAGGGCTTGGGAAATAGCATGGATCGGACGAGGGCTCCCTTTGTTGTATTGAACCCAGTTCTCACAACCATCGCAAGAGCAACAGCCTCATCGTCATCAACATCCTGCGGTCGTCTTGCCCGGATTATCTTGGTGCCACAGAAGAGAAAATGTCTGGCAAGAATTGGATGGATTGAAGCAGCGCTCGGATCCAACAGAGCGAGGGAGTTGTCTGTCACGGGGATCTTTGATACAGGTATCGACTCTCCTATAGGCACGTCAGCAGTGCAAGAGGTACCTCAAGCACATTACCTGTGAGCATGCTCTCATTTATGATGCAGTCACCTGCCAACAAAAGACTGTCTGCAGGAACCTGCGTCAATGATGGATCCGAAACCTCGTACACGTCGCCGGGAGCAAGGTCGCCAGAGACCACGGATCGCCCTATCCTTGTCAGAAGCATAGCACACGAGTAGGAGCGGATGCATTCGTACAAAAGCCGTTCCGCAACACGCGTACATCGCACTCAAATCGTGAAATCTCTCGGAGTCTTGTCATGGTCTAGGTCAAGTATCAACATCTCGAGTGTACATTCCACAAAACGAACTCACAGATCTGGTTTCAGCGATGGTGGTCGTAATGCTAAAGACGGAGATAACGAAGATCGCAGTGGCATAATAGTAGTACTCGTCCAACGACCAAAGTACCAAACTTGCAATTTGGAATACGTAGAAAGGGTGAAATGCCTGAAATCGTGAGCGCAATCAACCTTGAATCTCAAGGACTCACCTCATCCATCAGAAGTTGTGGAATTGACTTTTGCTTGATCTCCAGCACATTCTTCCCAAAGACTTGATCTCGAATATCTCTTTCATCAGAGTCTAGGCCTGCACGAAGTGCCTTGATGTCCGTCCACTGCGAATCGGTCCAGTGATTGTTCAAAATAAATTTGTCCTCGAGGGGATGAAACAACAGGCGCATGTAGCGATAGTCCAGTACCTTAAGAGTGTCTAGGATGGCGTCGTCATCATCATGATATCCATTCAGAATCTCTTTTGGCGGAAATCCAAAAACTGTGGAGAGAGGATGTCCATACTGCTCGGTCGATACTCGATGCACGGTGAACTCGCCCCATTGGTTCTGACCATTCTTAGCCCACGTATGCGCCTTCGGTCTACCTGTCCAGAAGCTCACCTCTATGACCACCCAAGAACATGCTTTCAAGGGAGCAGGTGACCCAACAATCTTGACGCGCCACCTCGGCATCCATCTAAACAGGAGATAGGCGAGTCCCAGTGTACAAACGCATATGGCCGTGTATGCAGCAAAACCCAGCATGCTTGTTCTGAAGCCAGCAATCACAATGGTCATGTCTTCGGTGACAATGTATAATTTCTGGCTGAAGCTCCCTCCTTCCTTAAGTGCTCGAGTATCACTTCGAGTCGAATCGGAACGCTTGAGTAATGGCTGATCTGCTGAAAAGCGCGACCTCTCCGAAGAGGACCTCTGTTTCCTACTGACATTGCCAGCTTCAAGGTCTCTATCGCCCATATCGTCAAGGATGTCATCCTCATCGCTGTTATCCGCCACAGCCTCTTCCTCTGGCCACTCTGGGGCTTCATTATCTTCCTGGAAATAGGTGAAGCTGGTAATAGAATCCGTGCGTCCACGTCGATGAGCAAAGCCGGTGATGCTGGTAGGTATGCTTTCTGACATTGGTCCGGCAAAGACCTGCCACTGGTCAGTGTCTTCAGTAGAGCCCAGCTTCGGAAGACAGTCACCTCATCTTGTGCCATCTCGACTTCTGAGACGAAGCTTGCACTGTGACTTTCTGTGAATTTTCGTTCAGGATAGCAGGGAATCTAGCATACTTGCTCATGGTGGAGTTGCGACGATACGTTCTCTGTGTGCCAGACAAGCTCCGCTTAAGCTGGCCAAAGCCAGGGCGTTCGGGGTTATCCATTGCTCAGTGTGCCCCAGAAGGCACCACACATGTGTTATAACATCGAATGCTGTGATTTGGAGGCACATGGAGGACCTGTCCTCGCTAATGTTGCTGGTGCTTGTCCCATGTAGAGGTAGGTCAAAAGATTAACAAGGTCACCTAGTTAGTTTGCAGAATTGGAGCTTATCCATATCTCCACGTGATTGGAAGCCAAGATTTGTCCGCCTTTGATCCTTGGCAGCGATCCCGCCATTCACTCATTGTGCAGGTTCACCATTAACTACCACGACTAATGTTGGCTGCTGCCCATTATAAAGTGTGATGTTCACAACGATCACCACCTTCTCCAGACTACAGTCACATTCAAAGGTGTGGTTGCTTATACTGCAGATCTGTCAAAAAATTACAAAGCTTGTTTCTTTCAACCAATCAACTCCTTGAAAGTCTACCGAATAGAAAGAAGTAATAATCCTCACCTAGATTGACTGCACTAGTCAGTCTTCTGCAAAAGTTCGCCGCCGCAGTCTATTCAACCCACACCGGTTTCTCCCTCTTAGTCAAAAAACTTTGAACCCCAACGCATTACCCTGGATACCATGTCTGAGCCCATCCGCAACAAAAAGCTGGACCTGTCCACGGCCCCGTAAGTGTCTATTCATCTGCCCCCCTCCAGCGTTTCTCCATTTCATAAATTTCTACAATAGGCGGACACCGTTAGCGGTTTCCAGGCATCTTTTCTGAGAACGAATCTAACATGACTTTCAATAATACAAGGACACCTCAGAATACTCCTGCCAACCAGGCTCCGATCTCCTCGCATGCTCAACAGCCAGGCGTGTCCAGCATTAAAGAAGGTACCTTCCTCCTAATTCATTCTCACGGGCGGAGGTGTACTGATTGCGAAATCACTTTTAGAGGATGTAGACCGCAACAATGCCGCCGCTATGCTGGCACAAAACCCCGCTCTTGTATCCATGATTCAGGGCAAGCTTGGAAGTCTTGTAGGCCGCTCCTCTGGCTATGTTGAGAGCCTCCCCGTACCTGTCCGACGCAGGGTCGCTGGACTCAAGGGCATTCAGAAAGAGCATGGCAAACTTGAAGCAGCTTTCCAGGAAGAGGTACTGCAGTTGGAGAAGAAATACTTTGCAAAATTCACGCCACTCTATCAGAAGCGCGCCGAGATCGTCAACGGAAACCTCGAGCCTAGTGAGGAAGAGGTCAACGCAGGCAAAGCTGAGCAGGAAGAGGCTGCTACCGCAGAGTCAGAGGCCCAGAATAAGTCCGAACCAAAAGAAGACATGAAAGGCATCCCAGAATTCTGGCTCACTGCCATGAAGAATCAGGTCTCGTTGGCTGAAATGATCAACGACCGTGATGAAGAGGCTCTTCGTCCCCTCTGTGACATCCGGATGGAGTATCTTGATCGTCCTGGCTTCAAACTTATCTTTGAGTTCGCCCCCAACGACTTTTTCACAAACAAGACTCTTTCAAAGACATACTACTACCGAGAGGAGAATGGTTTTGGCGGTGATTTCATCTACGACCATGCCGAAGGCGACAAGATCGACTGGAAGGCTGGTAAGGACGTGACCGTTCGAGTAGAAAGCAAGAAGCAACGCAATAAGAGTAAGTGGCATGATCTTGATGAACCAGATCATCACTAACATACTCCAGCCACGAAACAAACCCGAGTTGTCAAGAAAACCGTTCCTACCGAATCATTCTTCAATTTCTTCAACCCTCCCAAGGCACCTTCGGAGGATGAGAGTGTTGATAGTGAAGACGATATCGAGGAGCGCCTCGAGCTAGATTACACGATCGGAGAAGACATCAAGGAGAAACTTATCCCCCACGCTGTCAGCTGGTTTACTGGTGAGGCACTGCAGTTCGAGGAGCTCGACGAGGAGGATCTGGAAGATGGTGACTCTGAGGAGGATGATGACGAAGACGATGAAGAAGACGACTCGCATGACGATGAGGAAGAGTCTGCTGAAGAGGTATGCTCTACCTGTCTGCTGACTATCTTGCAAGTGTTAACAATTTGCAGGACGATGGTGCAAAGCCTAAGCAGGAAGCGGCCGAGTGCAAGCAAAGCTAGACGGTGTTTGTGCTTTGCTTGGAGATATTCTTCCCCTTCAGTAACGTGAGCCTGACTCAAAGCGTGATGTGTGGTGCCTCTACACTTGCTTCGAGCGCCTATTGATAGCATCGTCCTTGGTTCTGCTCATGGTTCGTCCGCTTTCACAGACACGGCAGCATGGTCGGTGTCCTCTGCCTTCCTTATGCTTCCTTTCTCACGGGTAGTTCCTCTTTCCCGAGTGGCGGTGTGCTCAGCTTTGGCGTCATGTTGAACGGAGTTCAACTTGTGCATAATTCAGCTTTACGCAATCTCGACCGTGGCAACAATAGGTTGAGAACCTCGCATGTGACAGTATTATTGCATGCAGTCCAATATCCAATATCCCACATTCCCCACATGAGTAACTGTGCTCCGAAGCCTATGATAGTTTCTCAGGCTGAAGACTGTAACTACGTCCAAGTGTTGGGGCCAACTGATAAGTCGGCTGGATGATGTCGACCGTGCTCAGAGAGGATAATCATGTTTGCAGCCAATAAAAGCCCACAACTTTGGTCCAACGAATAGCCTGGTCATGCATTATCTACCGATCAAGTGTTCTGTTCTGTCATTCTATGAGCCTGTACTTTCAATCTAGACTCGTGAGGTTGCATGTTCATAATTAGGGGCTTAGGAGGTGCTGAAGTTGATGCCGGTAGAGAGCAAATAAAGTTTCGCCAAGGTTCGTCACAGTACTAAGTAGTAGGTCAACCGCGCGCTCAGGGGCCATCAACCCTTTCTTAGCGTAGCTCGTCCGCTCTCTTCCCAAAAAAAACATAGAAAGTCAACGACCATTCCATTACCAGGCAATTGATTTGCCGAGTCTATTTTCCATTGCCAATGGGTGCCCGGTGATGGTTATGCACATCCCTCCCTATTCTCATATGCCCTGATCATTTCCCGCTGTGTACACAGCATTTCTCTCGCGTCTTCCTTCGATAGCGCAGACAGGACAACAGTGCCTCTTCGTCCTACATTTTCGCAACTTTGGGTTCCGCCTCTAAGGCTCCTGCAGTATGGCTCACAATTACGATGTCGGAACAAGAGCATGGCAGCCAGACCCTCAGGAGGGATGGATATCCTCCGAAGTGGTGGACAGGAAAGTGCAGGGTGGCCGGGTGACACTGCGCTTTATTTTGGCCAATGAAGAGGTAGACTACCTCCTGAAGTTATTCCCAGGAAGGACACTGAAAGTAATGGGTTCAGACAAAATCGATTGAGACAACAGAAGCCGCCCTTCAAGATGGTTCCGACCCCTCACTGCCGCCTTTGATGAATCCTACAATGTTAGAGGCAAGCGAAGATCTGACGAGTCTATCACATCTGAACGAGCCAGCAGGTGAGCCTCTGATCATCACTGCTGTGTCAATGGTGGTTGATTTGTATCGCAGTACTCCAAGCGATTAGGTTACGGTATGCCCAAAAGGAGATATACACATATTCCGGGATCGTCCTGATAGCCACCAATCCGTTTGCACGAGTGGACTCGTTATATGTACCACAGATGGTGCAAGTATATGCTGGCAAGCAGCGTGCCTCGCAGGCACCTCATTTATTCGCCATTGCTGAAGAGGCATATACGTCAGTTGCGGGAAGCCCTTTTCTGACCTTCTAACTGACTAGTCTTTAGTGACATGCTGCGAGATGCCAAAAATCAAACGGTGGTAGTGTCAGGAGAATCTGGAGCTGGGAAGACTGTAAGTGCCAAATATATCATGAGGTACTTCGCAACGCGAGGCACACCAGATCAGCCGGGGAAGCAATCCATTGGGCGAGCGGACACGATCAGTCAGACCGAAGAACAAATACTGGCTACGAATCCGGTAATGGAAGCATTTGGAAACGCGAAAACGACTCGAAACGACAACTCGTCACGTTTCGGCAAATATATTGAGATCATGTTTGACGAACGCACATCTATCATCGGAGCACGAATACGAACGTATCTTTTGGAACGGTCACGGCTTGTTTTTCAGCCATTAAAGGAACGAAACTATCATATCTTCTACCAGCTCATTGCAGGTGCCACAGATGAAGAGCGGGAAGATTTGGGACTTCTGCCTGTCGAGCAATTTGACTACCTGAATCAAGGCGGAGAGCCTTTAATCGATGGAGTAGATGATCAAGCGGATTTTGAAGCCACTAGGAAATCCTTATCAACAATTGGTGTCACAGGTGAGTTGCAGGCAGAGATTTTCCGGTTACTGGCTGCTCTATTACATCTTGGGAATGTGACGATTGCCACTACCCGGACAGAATCCTCCCTTTCATCATCCGAGCCATCCTTGGTTCGAGCTTGCGATATCCTTGGTATCAGTGCAGCGGATTTTGCGAAATGGACTGTGAAGAAGCAGCTGACCACTCGGGGCGAAAAGATCACGTCAAACCTTACTCCACAACAGGCCACGGTTGTTCGAGACTCGGTTGCCAAGTTCATTTATTCAAGCCTCTTCGACTGGCTCGTCGAGACGATTAATCAAGGACTTGCAACCGACGAAGTCCTACAAAACGTCAAATCATTTATCGGAGTGCTTGATATCTACGGATTTGAGCATTTCGCCAAGAATTCTTTCGAGCAATTCTGTATCAATTATGCAAATGAAAAATTGCAACAGGAATTCAATCAGCATGTTTTCAAGCTGGAGCAGGAGGAGTATATGCGAGAGCAAATCGACTGGACTTTCATCGACTTCTCGGACAACCAGCCCTGCATCGACCTCATCGAAGGGAAAATGGGGATCCTGATGCTTCTTGATGAAGAGTCACGATTACCAATGGGATCTGACGAACAATTTGTCACGAAGCTCCACCATAACTTCGCGGCAGACAAGCAGAAGTTCTATAGGAAGCCTCGCTTCGGCAAGTCTGCTTTCACTGTGTGCCATTATGCCATCGATGTGACATATGAGTCGGACGGTTTTATAGAAAAGAACAGAGATACTGTTCCGGATGAGCAGATGGATGTGCTACGAGCCTCGACAAATCCATTTGTCGTAGAAGTCCTTGAAGCCTCGTCTGCTGTGCGTGAGAAGGACTCTGCGGCTATTGCATCCAAAGCAGTTGGTGGTGGCCCGGGGCGACGTATTGGTGTGGCAGTCAACCGCAAGCCGACTTTGGGTGGCATCTTCAAGAGCTCTCTAATCGAGCTCATGAGTACCATTAACTCGACCGATGTGCATTACATTCGATGTATCAAACCGAATGAGGGAAAGGAATCATGGAAATTCGAAGGACCTATGGTTCTTAGCCAACTGAGGGCCTGTGGTGTTCTCGAGACTGTTCGAATAAGCTGCGCTGGTTATCCGACCAGATGGACGTACGAAGAATTTGCACTCCGGTACTACATGCTATGCCATTCTTCACAGTGGACATCCGAGATTCGGGAAATGTGCCATGCAATCTTGCGAAAAGCTCTTGGGGATATCAGCCACCAGGCGCAGGATAAGTATCAACTTGGTCTGACCAAAATCTTCTTTCGAGCTGGAATGCTTGCCTTCCTAGAAAATTTGCGAACAACTCGCCTCAGCGAATGTGCGATCATGATACAGAAGAACCTCAGAGCCAATTACTGCAGAAAGAGATACCTCGATGCTCGCGCTTCCATCCTGGCTTTGCAAGCTCTTTCGCGTGGTTTCGCTGCAAGGCTGAGAGCGGATGATGCGAGGCGCATCAAGTCGGCAACGACCATCCAGCGAGTATGGAGAGGTTCCAAGGAGCGGAAGACTTACCAAGCGATTCGCAACAATATCGTGCTCTTCGAATCGCTGGCCAGAGGCTATTTGCGCCGGCGGCAGATTATGGATACAAGATTGGGGAATGCTGCGACCGTTATACAACGAAGCTTTCGGACCTGGCGCTCTCTTCGAGCCTTCCGGCAATATCGTAAGAAGATTGTCATTATACAGAATCTTCACCGTGGAAGGAAAGCTCGCAAGCAGTATAAGTCTTTGCGAGAGGAAGCGCGAGATCTCAAGCAGATCTCCTACAAACTGGAAAACAAGGTTGTTGAGCTCACACAGTCTCTTGGTACACTGAAGCGCGAGAACAAATCCCTCATTGCCCAGCTGGAAAGCTACGAAGGTCAATTGAAATCGTTTAGAAGCCGTCAGAATGCACTCGAAGGCCGCTCACGAGAGTTGCAAGCCGAAGCAAATCAGGCTGGTATCACTGCAGCTCGATTGACGGCGCTCGAAGAGGAACATGCAAGGTTACAAGCCAGTCATGCGGAGCACATGGGTAACGCCAAACGACTTCAAGAAGAAGAGAAGACTCTGCGCGAGTCTCTTCACACAACGACGACTGAACTCGAGAGAGTTCGACAAATGAATTCGCAGCACGAGAATGAAAAGACGTCTTTGCGGCAACAGATTTCGGAATTGCAAGATCAACTCGAACTTGCCAGGCGAGCTGCTCCTGTCATGAACGGTGTCAATGGCGACTTCCAAAATGGCAACGTCCCGCCGCCGGTCAACGGACTGATCAATCTTGTCTCATCCAAAAAGCCGAAAAGGCGTAGTGCAGGCGCTACAGAGCGTGCTGAAATCGACCGTGACAGTGCAGCATACAATCCTCGACCAGTGTCAATGGCAATTCCCGATGCCTACTCCAAGAATCTGTCCAGTTCGGCCTTGATGCCAGGTCTGGAGTCAGTCGAGGTTGAACTGGAAAATCTCCTCGCTGCTGAAGAGGAGTTGAATGATGAGGTCACAATGGGACTGATCAAGAACCTGAAAATACCACTTCCTGGTAGCAATCCGCCACCTACAGACAAAGAGGTGCTTTTTCCAGCCTATCTCATCAATCTGGTCACCTCAGAGATGTGGAATAACGGATTCGTCAAGGAGTCGGAGCGCTTCTTAGCCAACGTCATGCAGTCCATTCAGCAAGAGGTTATGCAGCACGAAGGAGAAGAGGCAATCAATCCTGGCGCTTTCTGGCTCTCCAACGTGCATGAAATGTTGTCATTTGTGTTCCTTGCTGAGGATTGGTATGAAGCTCAGAAGACCGACAACTACGAATACGACAGACTCTTGGAAATAGTCAAACATGATCTTGAAAGCCTGGAATTCAACATCTACCATACATGGATGAAAGTGTTGAAGAAGAAACTGCAGAAGATGATCGTCCCCGCAATTATCGAATCTCAGTCTTTACCAGGCTTTGTCACGAATGAGAGCAACCGCTTTCTGGGGAAATTTATGCCCTCTAACAGCACGCCGGCGTACAGCATGGATAATCTGTTGGGCCTGCTGAACAACGTTTTCAAGGCTATGAAAGCTTATTACCTGGAAGACACGATCGTGACGCAGACTGTGACCGAGCTCTTGAGATTGGTAGGTGTCACGGCATTCAATGACCTGCTGATGCGACGGAACTTCCTCTCCTGGAAACGAGGCCTTCAAATCAATTACAACATCACCAGAATCGAGGAATGGTGCAAGAGTCATGACATGCCCGAAGGAACGCTGCAGTTGGAACACCTGATGCAGGCGACCAAACTGCTGCAGTTAAAGAAGGCCACCCTCAACGATATCGAGATCATTCAAGACATCTGCTGGATGCTATCGCCCAACCAGATTCAAAAATTGCTTAACCAATACCTCGTGGCAGACTACGAACAGCCCATCAATGGAGAAATCATGAAGGCGGTTGCCTCACGAGTGACTGAGAAGAGCGATGTGCTCCTTCTCGCCGCCGTCGACATGGAGGATAGTGGACCTTATGAGATTGCCGAACCTCGGGCCATTACGGCGTTGGAGACATACACGCCTTCATGTGAGTCGAATCATGTGTCATTTGCGGAAGTAATGCTGACCATCTCTCATGCAGGGCTCCAAACTCCACGCCTCAAACGGCTGGCCGAGATTGTCTCGGCACAGGCAATGGCGCAACAAGAAAAAGCAGAATATCTTGATGGTCCGAATGGTGATCTCGATGGCCTCTAATATCGATCCCACGTTGCAGATCTCCGCTCATTCCCTTCCTCTGTTGATATTTGATCAACCCCTTACTGCGGTAATCTAGCCGCTTATATATTTGTATTCTGAGCGAGCGTTTAATGGTCCAGACATATTTGAGTTGGACCGGCATTACCAGGCCAGATGGACAAAGGCGTTCTCAGATTGAAGCGACCATCCTCTTTTAGGTCTCCAAGATCGAAACTCTCTACTAGCATAGCATGGGGTGTCCTGTTACTGTTTTGATACACCCGATCAGAACGTTTGCTGGACTGGGAAGACATGTAACCTCCCGTTCATCGATAATGATACACTCCGGCTAGGAATAGACAGCCGAACATGAATTGGTTGTTTGGAGAACTGGAGAGTTGTCTTCTGAAGGATGTTGCTGCATATTATAAGTTGGTGTAATTCCACCACATGCACATGTAAAGTACGAGGTTGACCGTTCCTCCTCCTTAGCCAGACTGTTGTCAACATGGATTGATTCCCTGACCCTGATCAATGCACACATAGGTAAGGCCAACCTGAACCCTTCTCCTGGGAAATGGAAATAGTGCTCCGCGAGATAGGATGCCTTAAGGAGTATTTCAAGCACAGTTGTGGTTGTAGTCAAGACACAGCAACCCATCCTTCTCCCCTTCCCAACCCCATCCAGTTCTTTCCCGCTAAACCCTACGCCCCCTACGCCCCCTACGCCCCCTACGCAAAGCCCACTCCCCCACCCTTCTCTCTCTCC